GAGGACAAGATGAAGGCGCGTCAAAAATGATCGACCGCAACTGAGGGTGCAATAAAGTAAATAATTCAGAAGCGACAAACCAAACTGCCACTTGCAGAATCCAACATGAGAACAAAATCAGGGCTTTTTGCAACGGAAACCGATACAAAGTTGGCAACACGATTAACGGGCGATAGTGACATGGTGTAAATGCCGAGCTCTCAATATGTCACGATAGACGACCTGATTTTGGACAAAGCTGTAACTCCAGATGTCAGACTCCTTGGTGAACAGACAACTGCTGTCTCCAGAAAAATGACACCACTATAGATCACCAAGATGAGCACTCTACGAAGACTGGTTCAATATGAAAGGCAAAATAACCAAAATGCGATTCAAATTTCCAAAGCACGGAGAAGGAACTGGTTCCGAAAATGTAAAATTCCCAGCAATGGCGGTGAGTAAAGAGAAATAGACATGAGCTTACGCAGGTGCCGATGTTGCCGCCTTCGTAGCATGGGACGCCTGGGTTAAGGAGGCGCCACCGTCGCTTTGCCCGGAGGACCTCTGAGGCGGGTTGCTAATGGCAACGGAAATGGCCTTGGATCCGATCACAACGCCGTCAGTGGCGACAAGGGCTCGACTCGCCTCGTCTTCTGTTGCAAACTCAACATACGCGAGACCCTTGGGCACTCCGTTCCGGAATGTTGCTATTCGCACTCCCGTCACTTGACCATACTGAAGTGAGCACAACGCATACAAAGGTGTTTTTTTTCTCAGCTAAACGTATGGGTGGATGACAACTGTGTCCAATTCTGAACTTTAGATATCCTGGGTGAATAACTGATTTGATTCTTCAAACAGACGATGCATTGGCCTCTTGAAGGCAAAGGGAAAGGGCTTAAAAACTAAATAGTAAGGAAGCCGAAATCACTGCATCTAAAGCCTTGTGGTATCGATAATTGTGACGCTACCACGGGTTTAGGTCAGCGGCTTTCAAAGTACCACAACCCAATTGGACAGTCAATCCTAAACAAATGTGCGTCGTTGATTGCTTGATTCAAAGGCTAGCTGTAATGCGTTTAAAATGGTATGATTGCATCAAAATTTGCCTAGAATGTAACTAGACATACGAACTAGTACCAATGACTACAAAGTCGCAAGTCTGGGTTTCAGGCAAGTGGGAAAGGATATTAAGGAGAAAGAGGGCAACAAGGGGTACCAAGGATGAGCAGTAGAGAGGAAGGATTTCGTGGGAAAATAGTAGTGGGGTCAGAAGAACCGCCGTTGACAAAAGACGACGTAAATTGGCTAAATGACGGCTAATAACGGTGGAATTCCACCTTTAAAAGATCAGTTTATCCAAAAGGTATGCCACTTCGAGCGATTTGCAGACCTCACCTTTCCAAAAAACGTCTTCAACGCCTCTTCCCGCACTTGTTTGTCGAGGTTGCGAACGAAGAGCTTCTTCGGTTCGGGTCCTCCAGTGCTGTAGGCAAATGCCTTAGTCCCGGCCTTGCGATTTGTCTCGCAGACCGAGACGAACATTGGACGACCAACGTCAACACCAGGCACCTCTATCGGATGTCGGTCCATTGCCAGAGCCGAAGGAACGCAAGAAGGGTCCTCAAACTCCACATAGCCGAAACCCTTCGATTTGCCCGCGTAGTCGCGAACAATGCGGATGGAGGCCAGTTTGCCACACTGTGTGAACACATACGACAGAAAAAACAGGCTCAATGCCTAAGCGGATAGAGTACAGCATGGATTGACTCCACGGCTCAACACACTGCTAACCGGCAATACCACTAACGAGGGCGAACAAATACAGTGAGTAAACTATGCAGAAAATAACATGTTCTAAGCACGATGAGTAGTACAGACAGCAATTTCACCTTAGTTCCCATTAAGCACTGTTATTATTTGGAACAATACAGTATCGTTCAGTAAGATGCTTAGACATCGTTTTGATGCTTGTCACTTATTTCTAACATAAATAGAAATACGAGGATCAAATTCTGTCTATTTCAGGTAACGGAAAATAAGTTTCCGTAAGCGGTAATTCAAATAAACTGCAAATCCCCTGAGTAGTGCAAGTGTCGCAGCCTTCTACACACACTGGCCTAACTCATTCCCTTGGGAGAATTGGCCACGTAGAAAGTGCCTCATTTAGAATAAATCTTAAGCTGGCAGGCCGAAAATGGACTTTTAGGGGGGGGAGAACACACGCACACAATTTGCTGGCGGGGTGAAGCTCAACGGCAGCGTATCAACCAAGGTCACCTTTAGAGACTTACTTGCTTAAATATAGTTTCTAATTCTTCTTTAGTGGTGGCGAAAGGAAGGTTGCTGACAAAGACGGTCCGGTCGTCCTTGGTTGGGTCGTGGGGCACCGACTCGCCGTGCTTCGGTTTGCTGGGCTTCTCGCTAGCGCCGGCATCACTCACTTCTTTCGAAGAATCTTCGCCATCTTTCTACAACAACAGAAAAACTAAAAAAATTAGTGGCTGGTGTTGGAGGCGAGTTTGCCCCAAGGAGGAGAGCGCCTCCATCCTACCAGTTCGACAACAAGAAGAGACAAACTGATGACATTTAAAAGTAATCGATAAATCTACCTCAGCATGGTTCAATTCTTACGACATGTCCCTAAAGGATTTGGTGTAATTCTCTAGTCCGTGCATATCTTACGATAATGATGGTCTTGGTTTTTATGTTCCAGCTTTCGCACACTAATGCGTACCACCTCAAGGTCCTGTTACAAGTCATTTTCTGGAACGACTCTACACGGTGTAGTGTCCAAAGTGGGATGACAGTTCAGTACCATAGGCAAGTCAGGTACTGAAGATGATCAACTACTTGAGAAGTGGGATCGTGATCACACTGTTGCCAAACCTGACGTGTTTGGTACCACAATAATCGGAAGCAGGAGCCGTGTGTGCCTGCAATCGCATTTAACGGAACCAACGTATTCAACGTCCCTAGACATTCACGACCCTCCAGGACTGAAAACATACCTTTGATCGCTTGATCGGGGGTTCATGAGATGCCTCCGTTTTCCTCTTTCCACTTTTGGAAATGGCCGCCGGTGGAGGGGCCTCACTACCACCGGCTGGACGCTTGCCCTTCTAAATTAAAGATAATACTCGTCACGTAAATTAGCAGCACAGTATGGTCTATGTGCAACTATACGGCGCAGGTTGGAAGACGTGCGGGGACACAAAGTAATTATTAATTACCTAATGTGTTTAAACTTCCAACCAAAGGCACAAATTCCAGTTAGGTGGAAGTGAGACACGCTGTGTTTATACAAAAAAAACGCATTCCAGTGACCACCAGACAAGTAATTTGAGCGGTTGTTTGTATCTTTTTCTCGACACACTACTTAATTTGCATCCACTGCATGCAGATGGACTTCGTTAGCAGTGTACCCCTTCACGATCCGGGATTACACTTTCCAGAATGTCAAGGTCGTGGCAATTAGGCGAGTTCTACACGACAAATTTTAAGAGGCTGCGTGGTCACTTTCTGCCGAGCCATTCGGAAAGAGAGCATCACCCCAACGGCGGCTTTGACGTTCGGGATTGAGCGCATCACTTCGACGCAAACTGCACTATCAATGGTGTCGTTGTCAAAGACTAATAGAGGTCTGCAACCCAACTTAGTGTCTGTACCAAGTAACACGCTGTTAAAATTTAAAGTTATGTTCCAGCTGAGGACACTGGTCTAAAAGCCACTGTACGTGCGTCTTCGTTCCAGTGTCTATGCAATTCGTTATTTCCAACTGAGCAAAGAGGTCTTCAGCGAACAGTTCGTTTTGAAATATTCCAAGGTTTACGAAGACAAAGCGAGCATGAGAACTAGAAGGGTGAAGTGGGTGTAAAATCCACAGAGAATCAAATCCACGGCTGTTTGGTTGCGAAAAATTCTTACTGGCGCGGGATAAAAAAATAACCACATAGTAGAACTTAGCGCATTAAGACTATCCGCGTAAATTAACACAACTATGCATATCTTCGCACCACAAATTGCAAACAGCAGTGAATGACGAATTTTTTTACCACATTACTCCAGACTTTCCCGTACCAAGTGTCTCCGGAGTCATGCAAGGGCGGATTTAAGTTTGATGGCCTGTAGAGGCATCACAACGGCAACGCGCCAGAAAAAAACGTTAGTTGGAGTCTTTCAGCACAAACCTAATTACCTGCTGAAGCGACTGGGCACTAGCGTCCTGCTCCTTTTTCTCCTTCTTTGAGGCTACAGCGCTGGATAGATGAGCCCTGCGTTGGACGACCTTCACATCGAAATCGCGCAGCCGCCTCAGGTGGATGCCGCTTTCGGCCAGGCACCGACGAGCCGCCTGGAACACCGTCTCTGCATACTCCCCGGTCACCGAGTTCACCGCCATTCCGGCTACTCGCACAAGATGATCCAAGTCGCCGTGGTTCCTAGGGAAAGATCACGACGGACGTATTACGAGCAATATGGAGCCTTTCTTTTAGTATTAAGGGTATGTGCACACACAGAAACAAGCAGGCAGTCTCGGGCTTTAATAATAAAAATTTTGAATTGTATTAAGAAACTAGGTTCCGAGGCGTGAGTCACGAAAACGGAACGACATCATTTCTACTGCGCTTTTAGTGACTGAGTCGTAAACCACGTAATGAAAGGAGCACCGGTTCGATGACTCCTAAATTAAGTAGGTTTGGGTTTCCTAAACACAAAAACGTGATTATTGGACTAACTTTAACTTGTGGCAGTCAACCAAAGCAACAACCACCGTGTCGGATACCTAGGCGCCAGACACCACAAGCCCGTTGGCAAGAGGCGACTAATTCCTTGAAACGCACATCTCAGTACCGAAATATCGGTGCTACCTGAGGAACTAGGAGCTGCTTGCGGTGGATCTTAAAACAGCAAACGACAACAACAATTAGCGACCTAATTCGAAACCAAACAAATGAGTACACCTAGATTTTGATTACTTTAAAGACCGTCGTTGGCTCAATTTCACGCAGGGATGGAATGCAACTTACTTTTCGAAGTCTAAGTAGGCGAGCCAAAAGGCCGGTTTACTGCCGTTGTGTCCGGTTTTTGTCATTTGAGTCCAGAGATCTTGGGCGCGCTCCTTGTTGTCCAAAAACTTTGCCTACAGAGAGCACATTTTAGATACTAGAAAAAAAGTGTGCACGGGAACCGTGGCACATCTGAGCAGGTGTGAAGAGTCAACGATGACCAAACCTGCAAAAAGGATTGTCAGTGAACCAAAGCAGCTCTTTCGACCTAATTAGAACCGTTTCAATACAAAAAGGACGAAATGTGGAACTGCATGTAGTACGTTCAGACAGAGTTTGAGTGGGTTAGCACAAGGTGTTGGTACTTACCTCAACAAACGCCCAATAACGATAAATCAAGCAGTCCTGGTCACCCTGATCCGGAAAAGCTAAATAGAGACGAAAAACATCAATCAAGTGTGCGTGTGTCGTGTGTGTATGCGTGCGTTGACGAAAAAGGACCAAGTACGCACCTGATAGCACATGGTTATGGGCCCTCTCAAACGAGTTGCGCAACATTTTAATGTTCAACTCTAAAATGAGGAAATAAGAGTCCACCAATGTTATGAAAACGAACGCATAAATAGGCGAAACCAAGTCAATCTACTACTAAATGAGTTTAAACAAAATCGCATCTCATTTTACTGAAGTAAATCGTGATTTAATGGTGGAAACTCATAACAGTTAAGAGCAAACACATTCTGGATCCATCCGAATGCGCCCAGGAACGTCTTTCAACTCAAAATACCACGCAATTTTTCAAAACCGTGGATGTCAAAGACAAGCAAAGACAATGTAAAAGCCCAATGTGGCAGAATATACACCTCAAAAATAATTGGTCTTATTTCAATGAGATGACTGTCAACTTGAATTTAGACAAAAAGGCCTATTCACATTGGGGAGAGCGTGAATTTCACCAAAGGATGTTTCGAGGTTTGTCACGTCCCTCGCAAACTAAAACCGCGTCTTACTAGACTTGGCGTCAAATGACAAGGCATTGCGAAGGTGTGCTGGGGAAGTCAGAATTTCGAAAACTGTTCTCAGCATAAATGGGACTTCGTAACTGCTTGCACAATTGCCCCAAGTACACTACTATTCAGTCACATTACTGCTAGTGCCACCAACATGGGACCTCGTCAGTGTTTATCCATTTACATCCATTTCAAATAAGCTCAAGGTCGCCCAAGGCATGAGTGGGTGCGTTTGGATACGTTCCTCGGCGTTAGGCTAAGACAGTACAAGCTCTCTACCCGCCTTCGTCCTAGCACTGGTAAGATGGGGCCTGCGCTAGACGTGCAGGTTCTCTAGACAGGTGCTTTTACTTACTGGTGCTTGAGAGCCCATCCACGAGATGATTCGCGTTAAAGAGCATGAAGAAAAGAAGTTAACAATAAGGCCTACGTTCGCTATCAGATTCAGTGGAATGACGGAGGCGACGCAGAAGAAAGTCACAGTAGGCGATCCAGACAGCACTGAGATCAGCGGCTGACGGAAATCCACACTTCAACGCGCTCTCATAGACCTCTGGACAAAAGCGTAAAAAGGGAGGATACAAAAATGAAGCGAAATCGGAGCAGAAGGGGTGAAATGACGCGAGGTCGAAACAACTTTATAGAAGTGCTCGAACTAATTCGTTTTTATGCATAAAAGAAACACAGTTGATTACAAGGTTCCCAGCTACTACATTGTAAAGAGAAGAAATTTGGGTTTTGATACAAATTCTAACAATGTTATGGACGTCAAGCATAAATTACCTCTTCAGCAGTTAAAACTGCACCAGTCACCAAATGGTGAACCCAAGATCAGTAGAAAACCCAACAGAAGATGGAGGAAAGAGTGCCTAATCTTGGGGCATTTTCACAACGATGCCACTTTTGACCTACTCGCTACCAGCCTTTTTCACCTACACAGACGCTAAGAGATATGCAAAGATTGTTAACGCCGACATTCAATGGAAGAGACTGCATTTGGTAGCTGAGGCACTGAAGGACTAGCAGAGAAGAGTCTACGAAAGGGAGAAACCAAGGGACTAAAGAGAGCGGAATGATATTGTGGATTCAACTGGGCGTAAGGGCTTACCCTGAACTACGTCAAGCTCCTTGCTGAGTTGGCTCGCCTCTTGACTACTGCCACCATTATTCATCGATTCAGGAGCGGACTCCACAGCAAGAGCCCAAGCCCGTGCCTCACAAGCTAGTGCATATCGACACCAAAGTTGACTACTCCACGGGATGTTCCGCACAGAACGCGACAGTGTCGATACCAAACGGGTCAAATCGGCGGAGACGAAGACTTCCTTGAGAAAAGTAGGAACTGATTAAACACAAGTGCTTGAGGCAGAATAAACACAAAAAAACGAATTCAACCCACTAGATAGTCGGCCATTTGAAGCCAAATGGAGGGTTGTAGACAGAGATCTGTGATGGCTCTCTCGAAGAGACAGAGCACCTCAAGAGGCGTGAAGCTGACATCCGTGGGACCAGAGGCAGCCTTCTTGGCCACGTTGGCTCGATTGCCCTTGCGCGGGGCCTTGCTCACGGCCCAGTTCAGGTAGGCCTCCCAAGCCAGGAGAAGAGCCTTTTCGTCACCCTCGGCGTCCTGTGAGTTGGAAGATGCATTAACAATTGAAGGGCCGAGCCATACCTACATCCACCTTCGGTCGCAGACTAAGAGCGGGCAACCCAGTGCCACTTAGGATGACAAATTGAGGACCACAGACCGGCAGTTATACGTCCCACAAATTGAAATAAACGATAGATGCACGAAAAAGTGTTTGTCAAAGGCCTCCTGAGAATATGTGTGGCTCAGACCCAAGCCTGATAAAACGCAGAATCATAATATTGCAGACTTCTGATTCGCTAGGATGTTCTAACAATGTGTAATACTAAAATGTTCAAACGTTGAAGCAGAACACTACATTGAAGTCCTGTTGGCGACTGACTTACAGAGACAGCGGATTCGTAAGGCTCCACAGCATCCCATTTGGTCTGAGCAGCGGTGTAGGCGGCCAAACAGTCGGCAGAAACGCCACCTTCCTCGCTGTTCTCGTCTATCTTGACTAGACCAGCCCCAATCCCTTCAAGGAAGGATTTGTACTCTGTCATGGTTTCCTCCAAATCTATTGTAAAAATAAACAAGTCTGCATTAATGATGTGTTCGGGGCTTGAAATTGTTCAGTCCTGTGAATTTTCGCTTCCTGTTCCCTCAGGTTTCTAGCCCTATTGATGTCTATTGTTGGACAGGACAGATGAGCCAAACGTAGCCTACTTAATCGAATTTACAGGCTTCACCTGAAACATTTTACGCAAAAGAGACAAACGCCACTTCGAGGCCAAAACTGACACAATCTGTTTTGTTAGAGTAGGTGGCGGTTTACATTCCGGTTGAAACCGTATGCCACAAGCACTTCAGCGACGCTGGTTACATTCGAAAGAATTCAATTCATTTTTGGCATGTGTGGAGGTCGCACCTTTTCCTGTCACAAACGATCAAGCACTAATTCGCATAGGAGACTCGGGAAAGTGGAATTAAAGAGACTTTTTCCTACGATCAACCATAAAACTGATTTATTTGACCCATTTTGCATCTCTACACAAACGAGAATAGTTCATGTCCAAGCATTACAAGCAATAACAGACTTACCAACATGGGGTGTGCTCAATTGGCGCCTGAAAATGCTGTCGATTTTCTTCAGTTGGTTGGTAATGGCCACAGTGTCCTAGAATTGGGAAGAGGCAGTGGGGAAGACTTGACAGTACCAATGCTTGCTTATGGTTTGGTGTCAAGAGTGTTTGCAGATGTCTGATCCAGTCGAAAGACAATAAGGGATGACTGCGTGAAACGACAACGAAGAAAATAGAGTTGGGCTACTGAATAAAGTGTAATATAAAAATGAGATGAAAACTGCGGCTAATAAGGCTGGGAATTGAGAACGAAAGAGATAATATTGCGAAGGCAAGAGTCGCTGCAGACTGACTGCAAATGACACTGTGGAGTTAGGAATAAGTGAAGGAATTGTTGATGCCCTAGGCACGAAAGACAAAGAACCCACCGATGGTGCCTCAGATTGCAACTGTGCATAACAGATGATTTCGAACTCCCGATAGACCTCGAAGAGAAGGGCACCCTGCCGAAAATTGAGCCCCTGATTGGCTAAAGCCTCCTCGAGAACGGCGCGGGTGCGGTCCAACTGGTTTGCTTCCCCAACTGCCATTCCGCCGATGGCAAACTGACAGTACTCCAGCCAGACGTCCACGTCTATAATGGAAATCGGATCGTCACAGCCACCAAACACCCGTTGATCACATGGGGTGATTAGGAGCCAAATAAATTCACACTTCTGATATGGCCACCGAATGCAACACAATTATCCAAAATCGTGTTTAGCAATACAACTCATGGACGAGCTGTGTTGCATTGATTCAAAGTATTTGGTGAATTAAATATATGCAGTAAAACCCACAAAAAGCGTCAAAATCAGAAATCTACCAGTTTTCTTAAAAGGCCCCGCGACGAAGAACTGAATTCATACCATGCGACTTTTAGTAACTGAGTTTGAAGAAATGTGTCGTTTATTTCACTGCGAATTATAGTAAAGGTCAAGAACACATGTGGGTGACTTGGTGAAACTATGACAAGCACCTACTCTGGTAGTCAGCCAACGCCCTTTTAAAAAGCTTGTACACAGGTTCCCGGTCGTTCCCATCGGTCAGAAGGGACATCTCGTCTTTGATCCACTCAAGCCATAGTTCTAAGAAAACAAAAACTGTGATGTTAGTTCAATATCCCTTCCATCCCACACATTCCCCTGTTATTTTTACTGTCAACCAAACTACGATATACTGATTGTGCTAATCTAAGAACGTTTTGTGAAATGTCGACTTTTACTGGACAGTAGATCGAAATTGGGGGCGTTTTGACGCGGGTTTACATCTACACCGTCTCATTACCACAATGAGGGGCTGAGGGAAGTCCAAAAACCTCAACAGGCCAAGCCAATTAAAGGATGGACCAGTGGGTACGAAAAGCGCAACACAGGTGAGAATAGACCACTTGAACCGAAAGAAAAGTGACGAAACCAGGCAGGTTATTTCTCCATCTCACCCCACCTCAACCTCACACTGCGCGTATCACAACAAATAACTAACCAGGCGACACATTCAGAGTCTACTGATCAAAAACTCGCAGAAAAAGTAATTTAGTGAATTTAAACAGAATAACACATTAAAACCCGCATCAAGCAATTTCGTGAGATGGAGAGGGTGCACGCGTACCAGGAGTGAGGGGGAAGTGCTGGGACATGCGCTCTCGGGCCGCGCGCAGTCGATCGAGTTCACTGGCTTTGCGCAGAAGCGTTATGAGCCGCGTGTGCGCGTCATAGAGGTAGGGGTTGGTCTCAACCTAAAACGTCAACATATAATCAACTCTACTTTCCGTAGAAATGTAATTCCTATTGGGAATTGCCAACTGTTCTTGATTGGGTTTGTCCACTTGCCTGTTGTGAAACCTCGGCTATTTCTGCTTCCAAATTTTCCATGTCTTCTTGTCCATCATCATCACCATCCTCGGAAGAAGAGCTAGACAATGACGGCTCATCCGGATCCTCGGGATACATTGCTATGGAACTAGTGGGCAGAAAGTGTAAGTTTCATCAAAATGCAGGCCAGATTATGCACTGCCTAATTCATTTGTGAATTCAGGGATTGTAACAGTCGAAAGCGTGCAAATACTCTCCCATCTTGGTAATAAACGCGTGTACCATAACAGTTTACGCTAGAGAAGAAGGGGTGCAAATGTTGCCTTATGTGTACCTTCACAGAGCCTTCATTTACGAGGACACATGTGCCAAAGCATAGTGATCCGTAACGAAGAGCCGCAACAAACTACTTTGCAAGAACCAGAGGTACCGCAGGTTTTTGGTCACCAGTACTAATTAGTGGACTAAGTTAATTATTAAGAGCATGGCGCGAATGTAAACATCCAAATACAACTTTTCTGCATGAAACAGTCCTTACTATGCGAGGCTTAATTCCCGAAGAGTGCCCAAACAACAAGGCGGATTCAGTACTGCTAAAGTAGGTCATAGTTACATTTTTAAAATATTTTAAATTTTTTGACAATTTGTGATGCGACTATTTAGTATAATACGAAGTAAGTCCGTATTGTGCAACTGATAGAGTTAACATCGACCAGGTGCGAATAGTATGAGGTGATTTAATGTAGTGAACGAGAGGCATTCTAGGAGGTGCAGGAAGATTTCACACTCGAACACCTGAAGTCAGGTAATCACTAAAGATTATGAGGGGTTTCAAGCGGATATAAAACGTTCGAGAAACTAGTGGCTCCATCCACCATCAAATTCCAGTGGAATCGCATGACCGTCAGGTCTGGAGGCATTTAGATATAGGGCAGCATGTGCATTCATCATAAAAGAGGAATTTTTAGCGAAAAATACTTTAAATCCCTTTATACTGACTGTGGCTCTGTACTCCCCACGCCAGGTATGTAGATGGTGAAAATTGGCTTAAAATTCAACAATAAGTTGCGAATTATTGACAAACTAGTATTACATGGAGATGCAAATTATATCGGCCACAAAAATGACTGTACATATATTCGCAGATATTAAGGACACAAAGCCTTAAAATGCATAAAGAACTATGCACGGTCATATTACAGAGTGTCTAAAATAACTACATTTTCGGGACGACAAAGTCAACTTCAGAGTACAAGCTCACGTCTTATTGGGTAGATTATCAGAATACGATATTTCGTATAAGACGCAGATCTTTCGGCTCATATAAAACACTGGGAGGAGAATGACAATGAGCGATTTCGTATTTCTTATAGCTTTAAAAAAATATAATTGCATAGCAGCACATCCAAAATAGTCTGTCTTAGTCAGCACACTGATTAAGGGATGAGAAATTTCGGACGAGAGCTTTTTTAGACCTCGATTTGGCTAATCTTCTATTCTCACACCATCAGTGTCATTTAGTGTTGTTCAACATACAATGCTGGTTACTCAATTGCACAACTTCTTTTGCACCTTTTAAATGAAAACGTGAATATTATAACACCTGATTGTTTTATATTGCAAGGTCTTTCTGATGCAACCGAACCACACCATTTATTAAAAATTACTAGGAAGCAAAAAAAAATTTTCATTAAATATCACAGCAGCTTAGCATACCGTATTAAAAAGCAAGCTTACTTTCTCTAGTAACCTTGCCAATAATGGATCGACATTTCATTTTTTTTTCTCTTCTGCATGAGAACCAAAAATTAGTGGTAGGACTGAGTGAGTTCATTAACTTTCCACTATCCAATGTGTATAAATATAAGTAGTACTAATTTGAATATGACGAAAATTAATTGTGATATGCTATGGGATGTCACCTTCATCATTCATAAATTTACCTCAGGAACTCCTCTGAACGCTTTGAACGAATTACGATTCGACCAATCGCATTATTTAACTGGGCTTTTGCATAAAGCAAAATACAGCGATTTTTTAAAGAAAAATGCTGGGGGTTCATTCTAGAGTGAGCGTTGCAAATAGCATGTCCCCAAGTAGACTTTTTTTAGTAAAACTCGTTCCTTGCATGTGAAATCAGTCATGAACGAATGCTATTAACACTCTCCCATTCGCATCCTGTTCAAACAATCCGCCTACACTTCTTCAGTCACGCCGGTACTTAAAACGTGCAGAAACGCGTGGTTTTATCAGCAGGTCATGTTTGACCATTTCAAGGTCAAGCAATTCAAAGCTACATCTGCAGCGACAAAATGAACCTTCGCAGTTTGAAGATTGAGTGCTTAAATGCATATCTTGAAATACTGAAGCCTAGCACGTTGAATGTGGAATAAATGAACAACTCTTTGACAGATGTGTTAGTTATAAACGGGTTTTCATGCCGGAAACATGTGGTCAGGAACAATAAGTAGTGAGCAGTAAAGGATCTTCAGCAGTGTCATGTTACGTCTGCTTGTGCATGACGTTTTAGGGCTAAAAACTTATGTGAGGTCACAAGGGATCAAATGGATGCACGAACAAATGTGTTTAAGTCACTGCGAGATCGTATAACTAATAGTAAATATATTCCTTCTGTTGTCTTTGCCTTATTTGTTAGGTAAATTAATCGAGGGTATCAAGATCTTTTGTTTCACACAATCATACTTGAAATCGGAGATATCCAAAGCAATTTTTTGGTCGTATATTAGCAATTAGATATCAACTTCGAACATTGGTGTCCGACACTGACAGCGGTACCCTCACAACGCCTTTTAAAGTTAGCTCATACTCAGAAATGATTCTACTAAAGAAGACTGCATAATACTAGAAGAAGCATTAAACAATTCTGACCAAGCAACTGAGTACTCGTTTACGGGCATTCAGCCGATTATCCAAAATATTGATTTTATCGACTACTTTTATGTGGCACCGTGACATGAAGGTAATACGAGTGACTAAAATTATTGGTTCTTTTGGCGGATCATTTAAAGACAAATAAAAAGGTGCCTTTTAATTGCCATAATTTAAAAAAATTTGACTTTATTCTGACCTGAGCCATGCTCTTAGTGCCGCTTCATTCACATAAACGCGCAACTGAAGCCATTCCCATAATTAGCTGCATGAGTGAACTTGGGCATGGACCACGCTAGGACGATACTGCAGTTGGCTGTTTTGTTTTGTCTGTGACATCTCACGGGAAATTCTCTTGCCGATTAAATGAATTCCAAAACGAGTTGGAAAACAAACAAAATTAGTTTGATGTTCCCACCAGCCACAAAACAATTGAACACTAACAGAACTTGTCAGAAATGTGTCCAACAGGAAACTCTTCCTTGCTAAAATGCAAATAATAGCGGAAAAGGATTAGTTAAATCACTTAAAAGCCATCACGGGAAGCCTGTGAAGCATATACCTTGTGGAAAGTAAGTGATTTTTTTGCTAAAATAGCACTATCTACTCTGAAGATGTCAAGCGATCAAAATCACCGCCCTTTGGAAGAGAAATAGAGGGTTAATACATGCTTAAATAAGTCACTTTGAGTTACCAGTTTATCTAAATGAATGCACCTCTCAAGTGGAGGTTTTTAATCCACGCAATTGAAAAGACGTGACTGAGCACCGCAATGAAACATAGGGGATTGTGAGATAGGTGTCATTTTAATCGGATGTTCAAGTATACGGTTTCGTGGTTTCTAATTGCTTCGCAGGAAAAGATTTTTAAGAAGTCCGACTGGTTTTGCAGCTGCAAATATGCGAAATAAACAGTATCTTCACGTGACAGTGTAGTCACGCGGCCTAGGGAGACACAATCAATTAATGGGTGTTTGAATCGGGGATTTACGGAGGACTCGCTTTCCCAAAAAGCCATGGCAGGACCCTGCACCTGTAAGCCCAACTCAAATAAAAAGTCCCGTAAACGAGGTAGACACTACCTGAAGTCATCGCCGCCATCGTCCTCGGAAAAGTCGCCCCCAAAGTCGCGGAGACGCATTGCAGACTCCCTGCCACCGTGTGTCCCACCGTCACCCTCGAATACACAAACATGTCCACTCGATAACCTTGGACAAGAGTGCACTACACCGATTAAAAAGGCGAGGACTTGTAAGGCCAGATCTGCCAGAAAGCGTGCCAAGAAGAAGAAGAAGAGGAATAAGCTTATACCCCTGGAGCGACTCGAATGCCCTCCTAGAAGGAAATCGGCCTCCCCGAGACGCAAAAGCACGCCTAAAAAGAAGGCCTGTTCTCCAAGAAAATCTGCACCGAAAAAAAGACGTTCCTCCTCATCAGCATCATCATGGAAGTCAAGACTTCGTCCTCGACCATTGAAGACCCTACGGTACCCCTCCTTTAGGAATTTATGCAACAGCAGAGCTGGTGGGAATAATTCATCAAACCTCTCGATTCGCATGAGGCCGAGACCAAATGAACACTTAAATGCTCTTTTGGGCTTCTTGACACCGACTGACATACAGCTGGAGGTGGCCTCGCTACTCGAAGCGCTTGCAGTCGAGCCGGAACTGGAAACGCTTGCATTACCGAATCCTGTGTGTGGAGATGCCCCAGACCCAGGAATAACAAACGACGAAGAGCTTAGTGAATAAAATTGATTCAGCATTGGTAAAATTTGTTCAACAAAAAAGTTCCCCGAACGCACTTTGGGTAGTTTGGATTGGTCTCCATGTCACATGGGAGACGTTAATGGTTAGAAAACTGCTAATCTAACAATCCCTTAAAGGGAAGCCGTGCATTCTGGCAACGTCCCAAAAATTCCTAGTTTTGTTAAAAACCGGGTATATTACCTAAACCAGATGTTATATTGAGGAAATATCAATAAAAGAGATAAGGAGCTGATCCTGCGTAGGCTCTAGGGAAGTAATGACACCAAGTCAAAGTGAAAATTTTAGGTTTCATCTAACTGCAAGCTGCGACTAGTTTCTGCTGCATTAGCTTGTGCATACACACAACGTGAACGCTTGTGAATCCACGCGAGATAGCAACAGAGGTCGCTCACACTCCGATAGGTTTGAGCCCCGCGTAAAGTGAGCTAAGGGCAACCGTTTTGTTCGAGTTTTGTAGTGAATGGGCAGTTAAAAAGGCGAGGAGCCACCAGACATCTCAAAGCAGTCGCCTCCACTCCTCTAAGTCATCGATTCCCATTCATTGAATTGGCTTGAAACAAAAATAAAATGCAAACGTGCACTTCTATACGAAAATGGAACATCAATTTGGGTGATCACAATGGTCCCGGGTGCTTATGTTTATAAAGTAGTGTCATTCGACGGGGCTGTGAGAAGAAAGTTGACCCCGCACCACCGCGACCACGCGAAACGCGATCCCGTCCATCCTCCAGGTCCTCGCCATCGTCCAAGTTGAACTCTCCTCCAGATGAGCAGTAGTCTGCGTCTTCCTCGTACCACTTACTCCTCTCATCGATCGGGTATTGGCTTTCCTGAGTCAGCTCATCAATATCAGGGATGTGCCGATCATCGAAGGCGTCCCCAGTGTTGCTGGGAGGAGGACGATTGGGTACTTTGCGGGCGTTACCACCGGTAGCAACGCCATTGGGATATGTTTGGCTAAAACGTTCGCGTTGAGCTGCAATTTGGTCCTTGTAGAGATGGTCTAAACATTAGCACGGACAGTTAGTGTCCATTCAAGAGTTAAATTGCCAAATCAAAATGCATATGCATTGACCGACCAAACGATTTGCCGAACTCAGGGGCTACTTTCCAGATTATTAATGCATAACCCAACCCAATAATCAGTCTATTTAGAGGTCACCGTCTTTATACAGGAATCAGCAAATGTTTGGCTTCACTGGTCTTCATAAAACATGCGAATTTAATGAGTTGCGTCAACTGCTGTGTCAATCTCGACATAATTTTGTAGACTGAGTCATCGGCATATTCAACGAAACGTCTAACTTCAAACGATTAGTTCAGTAAAACTAGCACCTAGCAAAGGACATGCAGATTTTGACTGGTGACTTAGGTCTCGTACATTTGTAATTCTACCAGAAACCATACAACAGCAGATGACGGTCTACCGATGAACTGATGTAACACACACAGGCACATCACATGGAATACCTTCCCCCAGTCACCTGGATCTGGCCCAACATTTGCATTGGAGAAATAATAAGGATTCTAACAAAATAAAACGGCCTAAACCTGAATTAGCCAGTAAAAAATGAACACGTTATATTGCCTATTTACTAAAGTTCGATCAAATCTAACCGGGGCCGGTTGAAGGGAAGAACTCTACCAACAGGACCTGCGGCACACATCGCCACAGACCGCTAATTAATATGGTCGCGGGCGCAACCAAACAAAACAAAACGGGAGACGCACAGAAATCGGGTGGCGAGAGATGGCGATAACGATAGATCCAAAGTCGTTGAATGGGGTCATACATTACCGGAGAGTTGACGCCGCCTCCTTGTAGTCTGTCCAGAGCAGAGCTAATACACTGACTCAACTACAAGTTCAAAAAAGCACAAAGTGAGAGATTCTCCGACACCCGTGTAGTGTCCCAAAGAATTTAATCTTATGGGCTTTCAATAACCCCCCCCCATCCTAGAGACGAGGCTCAACATTCGACTTCCAACAGCCCTAGCCCAACCTCCTAACTGAATTAGCCAACGTCTGCGAGCTTCGAACCCCACCGGGGCTGCTCATTTTGAGGTTTTAATCTATACGCTATGAATTTCGCCATTAGAGGCTCTCAACTACACAGCTGACCAGTACACCACAGAGTATCCGCAAAGTGAATGGATAATATTTTCGTTCCTGGAGGGAAAATCAAGTGGACAACCATCCACAGGTGGGCTTAAAACAATGGAGAATCATTGAAGTATGCGGTCTAAATCTGAAAGTCATGTTAGCAATCGTGTATTTGTTTAAGCGAACATACTCAATGCACTACTGGGCCTGCATGTAGTTTTCCTGCCAGACAATGACAATACGAACCCATCAAATGGAGCCCGCCAGACATGAGGTGCGGCCGTACTAAATGGACGCCCTGCTGTGCTTTACCCCACCGTCCAGTTTTGGCCACCTCTGACACCAGCAGACGGTAATCAATCTGCCTGTTGGTCATTCAGAAAGACCGACATCGCCAGAAAAACAAAACTGCGAAGCAAACGAATGACAATCGCAAGTCTTGAATCGAGCTTCTTTGCATGGTAAGAGTTCAGTAGCGAGGATCGACGAATGGCACGAGCACCCCCGTGTCTCGAGACAATGCCTGGGCACTGTTCGTTCCTCGCACGCCCTGTGGGGAACTTAAAGGGGCCCGATTTGTGGCTTGAACGGTGCCTCGCTTCATCAAACTCCTGAGACCCCAACATACCGGCCTCAGCAAGAAGGCAGCGAAGTTGCCTAGGGTCTGCGTGTTACGGTAACCCTAGACGATCAGCACGGCAACTTATGAGCAAAAACTGACCCAGAATCAGACCATTTTTTATAGTGGACTTCTGACGGGTAAATAAGCACTACTCAACTCTTGAGTGGCGTTGACTGACTGTGCTCGATTCACTTTTGTCTGCTATTTCATGGTTAAAATATGCAAATAATGAAGATCAAATGGCCAGTAGCTAAATTCTAGCTCTGTAACGCCAAAACATGAAGGCATTAAGAGGAATTCTTGTCATGTTTTAATGAAAATGAATGAGCGTTTTGGCGTCCGTATCCTTTGGCAAGTGTATTGACGTGCGGGAAGGCAGTATTTTAGACTAATGCGCACATTTTAATTTTGATCTCACATTCAACTTATCTTCAGAAGCCAAACTGTTCTTTTAACGAATATTCACACAAGCGCGACTGTAATAGCGATTAGAGCATTAGCAATGTCGCCCTCGTTTTAACGAAGCACCACCTGAAAATTGAGACGTCTGACCGGTTAACCGGCCGATCCGATTTGGACTTGAACCACTGAATATAATCTCATTTATATAATCATCGAAGCTGGCTGAAAAAATGATGTATTTTATTCTGCCAAAAGCGTTGTAGCGTAAACGAAGCTGTGCTGATTTGGAGGCAGTGTAAATTTTACTGGGTGGATACCGATCCAAGCCGCAGTAAGGAGTGTTTGCGTGGTTGTGGGACCTCCTGGAAGTCTAATCAAGAGATACTCTGATCAACGAAATAGGTACGCAAGCTATGTGCCTTTTCCGGCCACATTGGTGTCACTAGCCTGTATCCTAACTGACATACTACTCCCAAAGTCAAATGAGCCCCGGCATTTAGACATGGCGTGGACGCACAAAAGCGGTGAGCACGCTAACCTGTTTGTGATTGAAGTGAGGCACAAGGTAGCCGCTGTCCTGAACGAGCATTGCAATCTCGGGACGTGTGCCCTCGCCATTGGGCAGCCTGGCGACGGCGTCGCGCACAATCTCCGAGATGCTGACCCAAGGCGGGCGGTCGGGACGCAGCAGCGGGTGGTCCCGCGCCGACATCGCGGCCCGGCTGCGGCCGTTCACCTGCGACCCTCCGAGGGTCCGCACGGGACCCACGACGGACGCGTAGCCGTGTTGGTTGTACACGTACGGCGACCACGGCCGAGAGTAACGCTCGGACTCCTTAAAGGAGAAAAAGAAAAAATTTGCATGTAATCTGTGCACATCCTACTTCGTGGGTTCCTAGTAAATTTCCGAAAATTCGGACATCCAAATAAATTGTTTCATTGCGGCCAACAGAGTAACGCCCTAGTAGAACTATCAGTTTTATGGTAAGAAAACTGTCAATCTTTCCCTAGTGCCCGAGGCAAGCAATATTCCAATGTTGTCACAGTGTAATTGCCGTCATACTACTAAGTTGGGTGTTAGTGCAGTCGTTGAATTTCGATGCTTCGGAGACGCGGGAAAGGAAAACTGACCTGAATTTGAAACATGCGGCGCTGTTCGGGGGTAGACAGTTTGCATTGCCAATCAGTTGAGCTGCAAAAAATGAGGAATTGAGGTTTGTAGATTCCCTACAGCACATCGGTGTTACTAGCAAGTCTCCACCGTTATTCAGAATTGTGCCTAAGCGATCTGTCATAAATGGCAATTAGGTGATCCAAAGCTTCAACAGACTGAAAAAAGGAATTCACTATAAGGCACACTTTAAAGTAGCTCGAGACTCCTTCGCCAAAAACTGATAATTCTTGTAAAAACCTCATAAGTTTCCACCAACACAGTGCACGTCTGATCCACTAGGTATACTTGTGCTGGATAGTGCTGCGGCAGCAAAGGCCATCCAACACTAAATTGAGACCCAAATCGAGTATCTAGGGGTTGTGGTAGTGAGTTTCCTAATGGCACAAGAATATCGAGAAAAGCTGACATTGAGGATCGAAACATACAAATACGGCGGCGCAACACGATCGATGTTGACAGCCTTTCCGTTCTTTTCTCCCTCGCTCTCGGAACCATCATCGTCTTCTTCCTCGTCTACGCCGTCTCGCTCCGCATCGTCCGCCCGACGTCGATTGCGCAGCGTCGTTTGGCTCGAAGCGTCGTCCATCATGAGCTGGCTCATCGCCTCCCGCAGACCCCCGTCCTTCCGCGCCCAAAGCGTGAACAGACGCGCAAGCAGGGCGGTCTCACTTTCATCGTCCAGTCCGCTCCCCTCCCAATACCAGGTGTGGGTGTTGGAGTCGAGCGTGACGAAGGCCGAAGGGAGGAGGTGCATGAGGTCTGCAGACGCACTGCTTTTCGACATGAGACGACTAAGCGTTGAATGGCCGGACCGACCGGAGAGCAGGGAGAGGGCGTGCCGGACTACTTGGGACCAATCTGGACACTGAGAATGACGTAACAAAACGTGTCAGCGGTGGCAGTGAACGGCCACTATCCACGTTTGCGGTAAAAAAAACTGCATACTCTATTTATCCAGGGGGAGTTGGTTCGTTGAACACGGGTGCTAGAATTCCAGACATGTACAAATTCGCAAAGCTGGTCCGTAGACAAACCGCCTTCTTCCGACATGGCGAGAAGCATAATGCGTAATACGTTGAAGAATCCGCGTACGTACCTTAACAAGTAAGAGGATAATTGCAACACAAAAATACCATTAGTGGAGAAAAATTGTAGAAGGGACGTACTGTGTCAATGATGATGGAAAATTTTGCAGCTGGCCCCTACAAAGGAATATTTTAATGCTTTCAGAAAGATTACAGGGTACGATAAGCGTCGAAAAAAGTGGAGGAACAAATATATTCCAAGTGAGACCTTGAGATGGCTATATTAACGACGAACAAGGACATTAGTAACAAGATCTTCAAATACTTTTACGGTAAATACATGGATAAATAATCAACAGGAACATAAATTTATATTGTTGGCAAAACAAACGCAAAGAGGACACGTTTTAATACCGTTGAATACTAAAGCATGTTCTTCAAATGGAAAGTACACTCTACAATTCACTTTTAGATTTGACTAGCATTCAGTTTTTTTTATTTACTAACAATATCCTGCGTCATTGACAGACAGCATGGTTCGAAGTTCATTGCTAAAATGAGTAACCCAAGTTTCCAAACCAAACTAAACAACAAAAGCCATGAAAAACAAAAAAAAAACACATAAAACGTTCAAAAGTTGTTTAATAGAAAGGAGAATCGATTGTGACTGTCTAAATGATATATCAATTACAACTGCATATAACTAAGATGCATAGTTAAGAAACTGGGCAAGTAAAAATGCAATATAATCTAGGTTGTTTATTGCATATCGGATATATACAGGTAGAGAGCCAAAGGTCATTGTAGAAACCAAGTATGATGTATTTTACAATTTCCTCAAGCTTAATTTATTTAAGCGACTACTACTTCGCCCGATGCCTCTGGATAAAAGTGCTTAATTATATATCAGGATTTTGGACCATGCTGTACGTCAAGACAGCTGTTGTAGTGGAACTTGCATATTGCAAAGCCCATATTTTCCACCAAGGGAAGAATATATAACTTCAATCCTACTCAGGAATTCCCAGTGACAGGTAGGATTAAAATTGAATTGGATTATCAATTGTCATTAATTAGACTACTTTCGCGTGGAACAAAAGTTCACAAAAAACCATCGGATTGGCAGCAAATTATAACGCAGAAATTACTTACCGAGATCTAGGTTTCTTTATTTGTGATTTTTCACTGGAAGACTGGCCATTACGCTTTGTGATAGCCTTGGTTTTAGTGTTTCTTCTTTTCGTCTTTTTACTCATTTTGACGAAGCCGCGTTCAACTTCGACAGCTTGAATTATATCGCTTAGTTGAATACCATCGATATCTTCGTCTACTATCCCAAGCTGACGCTTCTCGGAGTACTCGGAAATCATTTTCTCGAAATCAAGTTCTTCGTTCACTTCTGAAGGCGTCAAATCACACTCTACAAAGTGAAGTCGGAGAAAACGCTACTTACGTGGTAAAAGCGATATGGAGTTGAGTAAATCATTGTCACCCAATTCAGAAGCTCTCACTACTTTCTCAAAAATTTGCTTCGATTTCGTATAAAGAGCGTCGGCATCAACGTGTAAATTAGACAAACGACTAAGACACTTGGCTTCGCGTTCAGTAATTGGTATATTGAGTGCCTGGATATCAAACAAGTACAAATAATGAACATACTGTTTTCTTGGCTAAAATACTCCTAAGAAGCTTAAGCCGTGAAAAAAGCTGTTCCATTGTTGCCCTTCGCTCCTTTTTAAGCGTTTCAGAAAACATTAAAATGCGGTCGTTCAATGAAACATCTGTAGAAATATCCGGGGGAGAGCGGAACAATGGACCTAGCAATGGTTGAGAGGGCGTGCTATTCACCAATTCGTCAGCTACATTGGTTGCCACCTTGGTGTCTTTAGCCAACTTATTGTAAGTATAATTAAAAATGAGACATACTGGCTGATCCATTACGCAATTGGTGACGAACTTTACCGGCTTAAATTCTTTTTCGAAAGAAATATTTTTAAAAAGATAAGATTGGAAATAACACTCGGTGGTGAACACCTCCGTTGGCAAACCGAGAATGGCCAAGACAACTTTCACAAATTTACAGGAAAATCACCCTCCAGTGTGGTTGTGGTGTGGCGTCGGATTAGGGCGCAGACATGTTGGACCACCAGGCCTCAGCCAATCCCGTGTCTCTCTGCGATCCAATGGCATGCGGGAAAGGAAGGCAGCCAACCAGAGAAGGACATGACTGAGTTGATGTATATAATGAGCGGCGTGGCCAGCGTGGCGGACTCGGATGGAAGGCGCCTGACGCGTGGTTCTGGGTTCTGATTGGTCAATAATGTCCGTTTTGTTGTACCAGTCCTTTTCCTATTAGGGCTCGCGTATTCTATATTGGTGGCAGCGGATGCGTTCGAATAACGCGAATTTAACCCCCAACCCTTTCTCTTCTATGGTCAACAGAGTCGAAGACCCTTGAATGCCACCTGAAATTGTCATGGCGGTCATCCGATGTCCAATAAATTGGATCCATAGACATTGCCCTGGATTAGGACTTCTGCATCTAAAGAGGCATTGGCAACTCAGCGACGACGACTTGGACAGTGAAAGCCGGCTAGACTGCAACTGCGAATGAACCTTCGATGGATGATGAGTCCTTCCTGCAAGTCTACAAGAGCAAAGTCCCTCGTCAACTATTCGCATGGGCCACTATCCTGCAAGATGTGGGGTGCGAGGAGTGTCAAACTGGATATTTTGCCAACACTGGATATCAACAACAGAAGCTAAGGACAGCTTCACTCTAAATGGAGAGGCAGTGTGGCGACGGATCAGGGCGCAGACATATTAGGCCACCTGGCCGCGGCTAATCCTGTGTCTCTCTGCGTTCCAATGGCATGTGAGGAAGATAAGCAGCCAACCAGAGAAGGACATGACTGAGGTGCTGTATATAATGGGAGACATGGCCAGTGTGGTGGACTCGGATGGAATGCGCCTGACGTGTGACTCTGGTTTGTAATGGGTCAATAAAGCCTGTTCTGTTGTACCGGTCTTTTTCCCATTGGGGCTCGGGTATTCTACACCAGTAAAACGGTTTACAAGCTAACAACCTTGAAACATTTCCAAAAATCAAAATTAGGAATTCATTTTGGAGGAGGTAGCTGAGTTCCAATGGAACCAATCATATAAATTATTAAAAAGGCTCTTTTCGTGGAAAAAACTGCCTTTAGATCAAAACACTACCTTCCAATATTATTGATAACAGCTAACAACGTTCACTGACAATATTTTTATTGTCTTTGGTATTCCTAAATTAATCCTATGAGTCCTCTGCATGAAGAAGTTTCCTACAAAGTATAACAATTGGGTAAAGAACTTGCATTTTCGACGTCTTTTCTCCATATATATTTCCTTTTTGGTACGTTGCACATTAAGGGTTGTTTAATGTATGTCGTCAGTGCCCTAGCATTCAATCAGCAATATTTAAAGGGAAGAAAACCTGAATTAGTAGATTCTGTTTTAATGAACTGAAAGTGATTGCCTCTCTATGACCTGTTTTTGAAAAGGATTTGAATTGAAGTGGTCATAACTTTATACCATTACCCATAAATGATATTCACTTCAGTCAATCAAACGAAGACTGAAAGCGTCAGACCCTGTACTGGGTATGCAAATACTTATGGGAAAAACGAAGGAATTTTTCAGTCACGAAAAAGTATAGACCAAGGATTATGCTACTGTCAACCAGACATAACATTTGGTGGGGATGTTAATGACGAGTGATGAATCTTTTTCTCGTCATTATATTGACTCAATGCCTTTTTCCAACCATATTTTATATTATGTGGGATAAGTTAATGTAAATATATTTAGGACCATCGGTTAATAATTTCTCATACGAAAGTTAGCAAAGTACTGTTTAAAGGCAATTTTCAGAGGAATTTCTTAAGAAGGAATAACAGATTTTCTTCCTTATTGGTTGCAAGTTTACATATTATGTTCAACAATACCGTTCACAGTAGTGATATTGTGCTGCCATTATACTTATGCGCGGCGTCTTTTGTGTTGTCCAGATTATACATATTGATATCAGAATTCGACCTCCAGGGAGCGCGCCACGATCCCTAAATCACAGCAACTTCAAACATAACAGCCGTCGCCCCGTGAAATCAGGTCTGCTTTCATGGTGAAAAAAATGTGCGCCCTTTGCTCTCGATTTATTAGGCAAACTTTTTTTAAGAAACACGCCTACGTAATGTGAAAAAAAGAATTTTTTCTGCGTGCTTTTACTTGGTTTAACTAAAAAAGTTTATGTTGGATAGGGCTTTTTTGTTCCAACTCCACATATTTACTTTCACCCATCGAATTATATGCTTTTGGTCTGCTTCATTCTGTCGCACTCAAGCCATATTACAAAATAGTGAAATACTTAACATAGAGTCATAAAGTCTAATATGTAATAATTATAAATGGAAGCTCACTTTTAAGGCCTCTTTCCATTTGGTTTGTTAAATCAACCTTAATTTGCGTGACCTTGAAACTTTTGAGAGCATTGAATTTTTTGAAATAGTAGTTCTGTTCTGCTTTTGCTAAATATCGTTACATGTCACGTAAAGATACCATTTTCAGCGACGAAGCTGAATCCATAAACAGTGAATTTGAGAGGTAAGTTGCCTAAATTTTTTAATTTTTTTTGAAGTGCAAGGCCGAAAATAAACTTTTTTTCTCTGGTAGGAAATGCGTACATAATGTGTATTTTAGATTAAATATGCCTCCTTATGGGAACGTTTGCTTTTTTGTTTTGGAATTTTAATGAGTTGTGCCGTCGGTTCTTCAATGCCGGTTTCATTTCTGATTTTCTCTGACCTCGTTAATGATTTCTTAGCATCACTTATGGGAGGACAGTTAAACATGCTTCCCATAATTCACAGAGTCGCTATAGTTGGTGGCGTGACATGTTTTGTTGGTTTTTTACAGATGCTTTGTTTGCAAACAGTTGCAAAAAAGCAGGCGCGGAGAATCCGTTTGCTTTTGTTTTCGGTATGCCATTATTAACCTAACTAATTAGATTATAGAAAGTACTCTCACAAGACGTTGCTTGGTTCGATGAACAAAATGTTGGTGCCCTAATAACAAAGCTTACAGAGGGTGTGGAGAAAATTGAAGCTGGAATTGGTGAAAAGCTGGGCATCTTTATTCAGTGCATAGTTATTTTTATAAGTGGACTGATTATTGGCTTCACCAAAAACTGGAAACTCTCCCTTGTTGGCTGTGCTATTCTTCCACCTATCGCGATAGGATTTGGACTACTTGGTTACCTAGTTCGGAAGTTTACAGCAAAAACGCAGAGGGCCTATGAGCGCGCAAATAACATCGCAAGTGAAGCCTTGGGATCTATTAGAACAATATTTGCATTCGAGGGTCAAAAAACTGAACTTAGTCGCTACACCGCTGAATTAAATGAAGCTGAAAAGGTCGGAATTAAAATGTCAACTAGTATCGGTGGAGGTAGGTTTATGTTACATCCACTATTTCAATGCGATAATTTTCTACTGGCGTTTCCTTTTTCGCATCCTCCTTCCCTATTTTTAAGCGGCTAGTTTGAACACGTTAAAATGCCATTTATTGAATTATCTCTTTGTAACAAAACAATCTTTGAGCTAATAGTTTTTGATGTCAAATTGATATCGATATAATGCACAAATGGAAAACAACTCAAGGTGCTTACCCTTAGTGTCACCTACTACATATATGCAAGCACCTAAATGCTTTCGATTCCATTTCTATTTATGTTTTTACTTTTGTCTAATTTTTCCCTAAAACACACGTATAGGACTTGGTCTGTCGGAAGCGTTCATCTACATTTTGATAGCCGTGATGTACTATTACGGTATTGTGCTTTTGACAAGAAAGGAATCCAACCCAGGAGATATCGTTATGTTAAGTCTGCCATGCTTTCTAATTCTGATGTTTTAAAATAACTTCTGACCGCAAAATCGCGTCGCTGACATATAAATCCTCATATG